AAAAAAAATTACGGCGAGATAAGCAAAGAAGTTAAGGAAGCAATTGTAGAAGCACACGCGATTAAAATTGGTGAGGAACATGAATGACGATTAAAATACAACAGGATTTCCAGCCGAGAAAAAGAGGAGTTAGAAAAATGATATAAAGAAAAAGCAGAAAAAAAGGGAGATGGAGTTGTAAATTTTTTTAGTGGCGAGTTGTGAAGTTTGTTGAGAATTAAATATTATAAACTCTATTACAGTGATTATTACAGACAAAGAATTAATATAGTTGAAAGATATTTAGAAAATTACAATGTAGATTGAAAAAAAATAGACAAAACTTTTAAAGAAACGACGGGATATTATGAATATTAAGTAATAAAAAAATCAAAGAGAAGATAAAAAGAAATAAATTTATGAAAATAGAAAATAAAGAGCAAAGAGAATATAATTTAATAATTGAAAAATGAATTAACGAGGAAACGGGTAAGAAATATTGAAGTATTTATCTACCCCACACTGTTAAAAAAAGTAATAGTTGAATAACCGGTGATGAAGTTAAGAGGTGTGTTATTTTTCAAAAAGGAAAGCAAAAAGTTAATGATGAATTAGAAATTTGTATAGACGGGAATCGAGGAACGGGTTTAAGCACTTCGGAAAAATTTTTGTATTTTGAATTTAATTATAAGGAAGGAAAAATAAAACATCGCTGCGAAAGATACCGCCTAACTGAACATCCTAGATTTGAAAATTTTTTTCTAGTTGGTGATATTGGCAAAAAAAACGCAGAATCCTTGTTAGAGATTTGTGCTACTTGCTCGATTAGTGGCCGATATGGAAGACCAAGACCAAGAGAGTGATTTGAATTTCATGAGGATGGAGGTATCCAAAATTAAGATGATATTTTGATAAGTAGATATGAATAAAATGACCTTTAAGAAACCGATTAGCACACGAATAAGTTATCGCTGAAAAAAAAAAAAAAAAACATAAAAGTTACAAAGAAAAATTAAAGAAAATCGGAAAAAAATAATAGAAACAATTAAAAATAGAAATGAGTAAATATATAGAATGTTGCGAAATATTAACTGCGTTTAGTAGTTATAACAAAAATAATAAATTAGATGACCAAGAGGCTGATTGATTTGCTAGATTTAGTTTTAGTTTTTTAACTGTTCTAGCCAAAAATGATAAATTATGTCTGAGATGTAATGAATTTTATAGCCTTTTGAAGCAAAAAGTCGACAGTTGACAAAAATAAGGAGAAAAATATGCTAAAAAAAACCTGAGAAGTTCAAGGACAAATCAAATATATAAGAAATAAAATAGATAAGAAAGGCGACAAATATTTAATTTTGCACTTAGTTGGCATAGCCAGCATTTTTGTTTT